AAACGACACAGGAAGCATCAAAAGAAGATGGAAGACGTTCAAGTATTTCAGGAGGTAGCATATGATCAAGAATCGATAGTACTGAAGGGAAAAGTCCAAGCTGCACTGAAAACATTGGCAAAAAACCAGGCTCCAGGAATTGATGGAATACCAATTGAGTTATTTCAACAAACGAATGCAGTGCTGGAGGTGCTCACTCATCTATGTCAAGAAAATTGTAAGACAGCTACCTGGCCAACCGACTGGAAGAGATCCGTATTTGTTCCCATTCCAAAGAAAGGTGATCTAACAGAATGTGGAAATTATCAAACAATATCATTAATATCAAACACACATGAAATTTTGCTGAAGATCATTCAAAAGCGGTTGCAGCAGTGCATCAACAGGGAACTGCCAGAAGTACAAGCCAGATTCAGAAGAGGACGTGGAACAAGGGATATCACTGTTGACGTCAGATGGATCTTGACTAAAAGCAGAGAATACCAGAAAGATGTTTACCTGTGTTTTACTGACTACGCAAAAGCATTCAACTGCGTGGATCATAACAAATTATGGATAACATTTCAAAGAATGGGAATTCCAGAAGCGTTAATTGTGCTCATGAGAAACCTGTACATAGACCAAGAGGCAGTCATTTGAACAGAACAAGGGATACTGCCTGGTTTAAAGTTAAAAAAGGTGTGCATCAGGGTTGTATCCTTTCAAAATACTTATTCAATCTGTATGCTGAGCAAATAATCCGAGAAGCTGCACTATAAGAAGAACGGGCCATCAGGATGGGAGGAAGACTTATTAACAATCTGCAATATGCAAATGACACAACCTTGCTTGCTGAAAGTGGACTTGAAGCACTTACTGAAGAAGATCAAAGACCACAGCTTTCACTATGGATTACACCTCAACATAAAACAAAAATCCTCACAACTGGACCAATAAGCAACATCATGATAAATGGAGAAAAGATTGATGTTGTCAAGGATTTCATTTCACTTGGCTCCACAATCAACACCCATGGAAGCAGCAGTCAAGAAATCAAAACACGCATTGCACTGGGCACATCTGCTGCAGAAGACCTCTTTAAAGTGTTGAAAAGCAAAGATGTCACCTTGAAGGCTAAGGTGTGCCTGACCCAAGCCATGGTGTTTTCAATTGCTTCATATGCATGCGAACGCTGGATGATGAATAAGGAAGAAGGAAGAAGAACTGACGCCTTTGAATTGTGGTGTTGGCGAAGAATATTGAATATACCATGGACTGCCAAAAGAAAACGAACAAATCTGTCTTGGAAGAAGTACAACCAGAATGCTCCTTAGAAGCCAGGATGGTGAAAGTTCATCTCACATACTTTGGACATGTTACCAGGAAGGATCAGTCTCTGGAGAAGGACATCATGCTTGGTAAAGTGCAGGGTCAGTGAAAAAGAGGAAGACCCTCAACGAGATGGACTGACACAGTGGCCGCAACAATGGGCTCAAGCATAACAAGGATTGTGAGGATGGCAGAGGACCGGGCAGTGTTTCATTCTGTTGTTCACATGGTCACTATGAGTTCAAACCGACTGGATGGCACCTAAGAACAACAAAACATTTGTACTGAACTTTATCTAAGAATGCATTTTTACATCTATTATCTCATTTGACTCTCACTAAATTCTATGAGGTTAGGTAAATATTCTCCCCATTTTACATACAATGAAGGCTCAAACAAGTAAAGTAAACTTGCTTAAGGTTAGATACATGTGGTGATATAGCACAGACTTCTATAGTTTGGGATTTACCTAAACCAGGATAATTTCAAACAATACTTTGCTATATGCCGCTATAAGGAAAAGACCTTTGAATCTGCAATTACACATTACCTTTCCCTTCGCAAGCAGCAGTCAGTGCTACCAACATGAGTGAACAGGCACCGCCTTAGATGGACGGTTGACCTAGAGACAGTTTGGAGAGACCATGAGATTTTCCTACAGTATCAAGAATCTTTCCTTTTGCAATCTCTATATTGCTTCATCTAGTTTTTAAACGAAAGCTATAATCTGTATTTAAATACTAGTCAGAGTCAACTAAATGACAACTAGTTTGGTTGGTTTTATAGTTACCACCATCCACTTTTAAAGGCACGTAGTTTAAAATACTGCGTTACAACTTCGTTGTAAGAACGATAGTGTATTTCCCTTCTAGAAGCACTAGTTGTGTGACCTTGTGTATTTTATTCAAACTCTCCAAGTTCCATGCACTAAGGGCTTTACATATATCAACCCATATAGCCCCCAACAACCCCTGAGGAAAATACAATTATTATCTCTATTTTACAGATGAGAAACTTGGGGTCTAAGGTCAAACCCTGGCAGTCTTCCTGCAGAGACATTACTCTCAACAGCTCAGCTAAACTGCAGCACAGATTTACTATAAGGACTAAGTGAGAGAATGCCCACAAGCTTAGGATGCTTAACCCAATGCCGGGCATACAGTGGGCACGCAATAAATCTTAACTAGTATCAAGTATTTTAAACTATGTTTGGCGATAAAACATATATGTATGTATGTGTGTGTATACACACATACATCCTATTTATACATACACATTTTATCACACATATGAAAAGATTTATCACCAGAGAGATCTTTTATCACCATATATATATATGTAGGAAATGACTAACTTTTGAGATTCATTTTTTTTGTTTCCTTTTTTGCCAGATTAATGACGCACCAATAAACCCAAGAATAGGTCAGAATTTATTCTGAGAATGCCATAAACAAACAAGTCTGTTAGCCAAGTATTCTCTCCTGTTGGACCAAGAACATCAGCAGCGTCGTCGTTTTGTTTTAGACACGAAGACTTATAACAATTATAGAACGTCTTTCTTACATATTCACAAGCAAAATCATGAACCACTAATAATTTGAATGGAACAACTGACCTGTCTCATAGCTATCAATAAATATTTATTGAGAGCCTACACTCTTATAAGATTTGCTCCACATACCAAGTTTCTGTCAATACATTAGAAGTAACTGAACTTTCTATCTGAAGTCGTTTCTGAAAAATAACTTTTTTCCATTCAGGATAATTACCAGGTATTTGTCTATTTGACCTCTTGTACAATTACCACAAGAATGACTACCCAATTACTAAAAGTAATGAATATACTTTATCATATACAAATTGGAAAAGATGTCAAATGAAATCTTAAGGATAATGTCTTTGAGTCACAATGACTCTAAACTGAAATAAATTAGTGATTATATCTGTAGCACGCCAAAATATCTGAATAAAAAACTTTAAGTTCAATTATATGGATATTTTACCTATACAATATCAAACATCTGAGCGTTTCCAAATATTAGGTTGACCAAAATACTGATTTTTATTCTAATACTTGGGTGTTACGTGAAGTTCGTCTGTATATAATGCCAATTATACTAAATGGTAACATAATATTCTAAATTAGCCAATCTTTAATCTAAAATTGTCATTAATAAAAACTGGAAAGAAATTCTACATGTATACAAAGATATATAAGTTACTACAAGTTGATATCTGGAATATATTAATACTGCCAAAAAATATTTTTCTTAATCTAACACTTCTAGAGCAAATATTACTAAACTTAAAAAAATTTATTTTTACTATATATTTGGAATTGAATACATGAAATGCTACTCTGACAGACATTTCTTCACCTTCTTAAATATGAGCCTAATATATATCTGGAATTATAAACCCTGTAACATTACAAAAGAAAAATAAAGTTTATGTAATCTGGATATAAAAGAAAATTGGTACCACTCTAAATGAAACAGATCACATGGAAATGAAACACATAAAAGAAATCATTAGCATGTATGATGTAAGGATTAGTCAGACTGGCACTTTTATTCACCAACTCTGGCTAATTTTAGGCATTTGACATGTTTCATTGCAGCTATCCTGATGATTTTAGAATTGCCAAGCAATTAAAACTTGCCATGCATCTTATAAATTACATAGGTAAGTTTATATACCAAACCAAACCCACTGCCGTCAAGTTGATTCTGACTCATAGTGACCCCAAGGCTGTAAGTCTCTACGGAAGCAGACTGTCACATCTTTCTCCCGCAGAGCGGCTGGTAGTTTCAAACTGCTGACCTTTCAGTTAGTAGTCAACTGCCTTAACCACTGTGTCACCAGGGCTGCTTTAAGTTTATATAACCAAACTAAAATAACTGCTTCACAGTTTTTAGTATGTTAACTCCATACCTAAGGAAAAATATATGGTTTTACAAATTCAGACTGCAGGGCCAGCCATGAAACCTATTTTATTTGATAGGAGACTACTGGTGAATTTTTGGTTCACAAAATATTAAATAGCACAGACAACAGAGACAGTGAGAGATTTTATTTTTTTAACTTTCATCCAAACACACCCTTTTTCTGAAAAACAAAAGCATGCACATTGATGGCATTCTTATAAAGAAACACTAAGTAATAACTAAATTGTAAATAAACAATAATAACACAAATAAAAGCTTAAATGATATTATATGAAAAGGATTTACAGGAAAGCATAGGGCTCTTAATTTTAGAAAATAATTCAGTGCAATAAAATATCAATGCATGTTAAGGAAAAGCTTCCAATTTTCCAAACAAAAACAATTCTTTTAGCTAACATATATTTTATAGACCTTTTGTGAGAAGAATACAAGTATAGTCCAAAGAAACACAAGGTGATCTTATGCAGGTAGGTCACTTTGCCTACTTAATCAGTTATAATCCACATAATTCCAATGGCACTGCTTCTTAAAATTTAAATTTAGAGCATATCCATGATGT